GGCGTGGCGGGGGAGGGCCCGGCAGGTGCTCCTGAGTCGGGGCCGGGGTGCGGGGGGAGGCGGGCCTCTCGCGGGTGCGGGGAGCGGAGGGCGAGGCGGAGTGCCGCCTGCAGTGGTGGCGTGGGCAGCCGGGTCAGCTGAAGTTCGGAAGGGGCGGGGATGGGAGAGGGCCCTGCGCAGAGTCACAAGTTTAAGGCAGGGGAGCGCAGGATGGGGACCGGAGCGGAGACAGCGGAGGACACACTGTAGCCCCCCGCCCACGGGGGCAGTTCTGATGGCGGCTGGGCCAGGGCGGCGGCGGCGGCGGCGGCGGCGGGAGATGCGATGAGATCCTGCGTGGAGTCCACAACGGAACCCACGGGGTTTCGGGCCACATCACACACTCTTGAGAGCAGAGCTAGCGAGGGAAGGGCCATATCCGGGCTTCTTGGCCTGAACATCTAAAGGGTGGAGGCGGGGGAGCGAGCCCAGGGAGCAGGAGGCGGGAGATCCTGAGTTTGGTTTTGGACGCGCGGATGCTGGGATACCGCGGATGGAGATACTCATGAGTACTTGCAGGTAATGGTCTGGAGAACAGGCGGGGTTGTCCTGTCAAGGGTGCAGAGGGCGTGCACTGCGGCAGAGCAGGGCCTGAAGGCAAGATCAAGGAGCGAGGCCTAAGGTGATTCTAGATGGTGAGGGAGGCAGAGGCTGAGAGTTGGTGGACAGGGCATGGGAGGCGGTTGTCCGCATCCCTGACGCTTCCTTGAAAAAAGAGCGGATGTGCTGTAGGAGAGGTCTGTCCCTGTGTCTTTAGGAAGGGAGGTGTTGGGTTGAGGAACTTCCCTCGGGTGGAGCTGGTGTTATGTGCTAGTGTTGACTGTCTGCTTGCGGCTCGGCTGACCCTCAGGACCACTCCCAGTGGAACAAAGGAAAGGTCAGCCAGGCTGATGGAGCCTCAGGGTCCCAGACAGGGGACTGCTTCCTCACCTCTCAGGGCAAGACGGATGAGCTGCTGTCCAGTCAAGGGCCTCCAACAAGCTCCCTGAGGGTTATGTAACAGGCAGGTCTTGTTGCTGTATGGACTATGAGCTTGTCTGTCTGCTCAGCCTTTTCCTACAACTCGTTACCTTAAAAACGTGTAAGAAAATGCATTGACTTAAGTACTCATTAATCAATATTCTTTTAAATATGTACGTAGAGGTAGACAGAAACAAACCTATTCTGCAAGTTAAATTTATACAAACACTTCATAATTGATTTGATATTAAGTTACCTGTTGTTTACAGTGTAAAGTTTTATGTATGATATCTTCTGAAATCTTAGAAAGTGGTAAAAATGAAGACCTCAGGGGCGCCTGGGTGGCTCAGTGGGTTAAAGCCTCTGCCTTCCGCTCAGGTCATGATCCCAGGGTCCTGGGATCGAGCCCCACATCGGGCTCTCTGCTCTGCAGGAGCCTGCTTCCTCCTCTCTCTCTCTGCCTACCTCTCTGCCTACTTGTGATCTCGGTCTGTCATATAAATAAATAAAATCTTTAAAAAAAAATGAAGACCTCAAATTTCAAAACCCTAGTACTTCATTTGCACTGAAAATGTATACAGAAGTGTTGATCCTCTGGACAGGAACAGTTGTCACCTGCCTGATAAGAGGCAGCCGTTTTCTGGAGGAGCTGGACTTGGGCCACCAGGCTGAGATCACTCTGCTCCAGGGCAGGGCAGGAGGAGTGGTGGTCCAGCTCAGTTCATGACATCCTTCCATGGTTACTCATTTCTCATGATCTCCCTCCTCCCATAGGATCCAGCGGTGGTGGCAGAAATGCTTATGGACCCTGTGCAGGTGAGTGGGGGGGGGGTCCCTCCTTTCAGCCATCCTGGTTGTCACCGATATATGTACCCTCAGAGAGTGGTAGTGTCCTGAAGCTTCTCTTAACCCTTCTCACTCTCTTAAGTCTGAGGACCATGTGCTTTCCCCGAGCCCAGGATCATGTATTTAGATTACATGCAGAGCAGTTCCCGTTTCTAACCAGTGATGTAAGATGCGGCACTCAACCCTGGCCGCAGGATTCAGAATGTTCACATGCTTGGAGGTGAGACTTAGCTGGGATGTTCAGGAAACCGCAGGTCTCTTTTATAGCTGGTGTGAATGGGGAGCCAGGTTGGGCTTGGCTAGGGGTGCACAGGTGTCAGACCTTGAGTGACAGCTGGGGCGCTGGACCTCTAATCTGTGGTTGCTGGGAGGTAGGGAAGGTTTGAAACAGAAGAGGAAGGTGTTGTGTCGGAGATTTTAACAAATTCCCTTTGGCTGCAGAGGGGAAGACAGACGGGCGGGGTGGGGGTTGTAAGTGAAATGCTGCGGCAGTCTAGGTGAGCGTTGTGGCGGTGGCTGCCCAGGACCTGTGGCCGTGCATGTAGAGGAGCCGTTGGTTTCTGAATGTGTGTTAAACAGTGCTGCTCATATTTTGGGATGTGGAGACTCAGGGAGATGAGGAAGCGGGCTAGCAGGAAGAGTCAGGGATGCCCCCAGCTTTTGGCCTTGTTAGGAAGGATGGATGCTTGAACTAAAACGGAGGAAGTCCGTGGTATGAGGAATTTGCAGGGGGAACGTGAAGAGTCAGTTTCTGTCTGTCACAGAAATCCCAGAGATTCCAAGGAGAGGTGTCAGGTAGGTGGTTTATTTTTTTTTTTTTTTAAGATTATATTTATTTGAGAGAGAGTGAGCATGTGGAGGGGGTAGGGAGAAGCTGACTCCGCACCGAGCAGGGACCCCAACACGGGGCTCCATCCTAGGACCCTGGGATCATATCCTGAGCTGAAGGCAGATGCTTAATTGAATGAATCCCCCTGGTGCCCCTCAAGTGGGCACCTGAACACAGAGTCCTGGAGTTCGGGGGATAGAGTCAAGCTGGGACAACCACAGCACGGTGGCTGGGGTGTGGGCTGGGTGGAAGCTGTGGGTCAGATTGAGGAGGCAGCATCTATAGGTTATGGGGGTGACGCCATTTGAAGAGCATGAGTGAGAATGAGGGGCCTGAGTACTGGGGTTTTTTGTTTGTTTGTTTTTAAAAGATTGATTGGGGGCGCCTGAGTGGCTCAGTGGGCTAAAGCCTCTGCCTTCGGCTCAGGTCATGATCTCAGGGTCCTGGGATCAAGCCCTGCATCGGGCTCTTTGCTCAGCGGGGAGTCTGCTTCCCCCTCTCTCGCTGCCTGCCTCTCTGCCTACTTGTGATCTCTCTGTCGAATAAATAAATAAAATCTTTAAAAAAAAAAAAGATTGATTGATTTGTTTGAGAGAGTGCCTGAGTGCAGGGAGGGGCAGAGGGAGAGAGAGAACCCCAGACCGACTCCCTACTGAGTGCAGAGCCCAGCAAGGGCCTCTATCCCATGACCCATGAGATCATGACCTGAGCTGAAACCCAAGAGTCAGATGCTTAACTGACTGAGCCACTCAGCCGCCGTGTCTTCATTGGGCACCTGGGTGGTGGGGGGGCATCACAAAGCTGAGGAAGCTGTGTGTGTGTGTGTGTGTGTGTGTGTGCGCGTGCAAGAGAGAGAGAGGGACACGGGGAGAGAGAGACAGTGGGTATAGGAGTGAGAGTCTTCTGAGACTGGACTGCACCTGCACAGATGTTGCGGGGGAAGCCGGCCAGCCTGACGCCGTGCTGGACCTCGTGTGGAGTGGGCGTGGGGAGGTGTGGGTGCCTGGCTTTCAGATGAGGAGAAGGGAAGGTTCTGACTGCTTAGAGGACAGCTGGTGTGATACAGAAGTGGGGAAGGGCCGAGAGTGTGTGATGTCCTCACACGGGCAGGTGGCTGGTGGTGATGCCGGAAGCCAGGCCTGATAGGGAGACGTTCAAACCAGGCTTGGGGCTGGACCTGGTGCTGGGGGCCTTGGGGACTTCCGGTGTTCAGGGGCAGGGCCGGGGCTGAATCAGATCCGGGATGTATTTGCCTATTAGGTCGTGAAGGAGATGCCAGTGGTGTGGGCCGGGGGTGTCTGGAGTTGTCACTGTGGAGGAGTCAGGGTTGTGTAGATGGGCTGAGTCCAACGACCAACATGCAGGTGAGGCAGAATGTGAGTGGTTGGCTCGGGGTGCTCAAAGGAGAGGGACAAGTCCAAGTTTGACTTGAGCGTCTGAGTCTCACCTCTCAGACAAGACTGGGGGGACCCCAGGACAACTGGCTGTCAGGCCCATGACCTAGATGATGTTCTCCTGCCCCTTCGCTCCTCGTGTCTTACACCACCTTCTGGACTCACCGGTCAGTGGGAATGAGGCGAGAGCAGGCACCAGTGCCACCAGCAGCTGGTAACTCTTCCGTACTGGGAAGTCAGGGAGGAGGATGAGCGGCGGGGGGGTGGGGGGGGGGGGGGGGGGAATGTGTGCGGGAAGGACATAAGGGCCTGGCGAGAGAAGTGTATCCCATACTTGCACCCACGGGAGTTTAATTTATGGAGGTGGGTAAGTGATGACATGGAGAGACCAATGATACTGAAAGGAGGTTCTTACTCTGTTTCTCAGGGGGGTGGGAACACATCGGGTACAGGGCCACATGGCCAAGCGCCCCGCTTGGTTAGGAGGCATATATGCCAGCAGAGGGACGCCTAAGGCCAGAGCCTTTATTGAGCTTTCTGGGAGAAATGCCGGAAGACTGGGGTGAGCAGCTTGGTGACGACTATTTTCTATAATTTCCCTGTACGTGGGGTGGAAGGGGCATCCCTGGCTGTTTGGTACCCATCCTGTTTGATTTCGGGCAAGGCAAGTGTGGCTTGGTGTACGAGTTCAGTGTGGGCTACGAGTTGCAAGGGAGATGGAGAAGCACATCTGGCTGTTCGTTTAGCGCGTGATTAGCGGACGGCGAATACTAACTAGAGAATGCACGAGGCACAGTTCACACAGGAAGCTGCTTGTGAACCAGATGTTCCAACTTCAGCAGTGCCGTGTGGTCTTGGAGGACGTGGCCATCTGTTTCTCCCAGGAAGAGTGGGGCCTCCTTGATGAAGCTCAGCGATTTCTGTACCATGCCGTGATGCTGGAGACCTGCGCGCTTCTGTCCTCCATGGGTAAGGCCCGCACCGCCCCCGCCACGTCCCGGACTGGGCTCTGCTCTTCCGCTTTGATGGAGGGGCAGTTCTGCCTTTCCACAACGAGACTGTGGGTACTACTTGCTGTCGCGGTTTCCCGGCATCTGTGTCACTGGTGCCAGACCTGGGCCGTGCACCCTGCACCCACTCTCCCGATGCAGTCCCGTCCCTGCTGCTTGGAGCACTTGCAAGATCGGGCTCAGAAGTCAGAGATGTTCAAGTTTGTTTCGGAGATCCCTCAGACCGCCCTTGTCCCTGGTTGGGTCACCTTGTCTAGATGCATGGAACTATGATGCCCCAGGCTTTCCCCCTTCCTCTTGCTGACATTTCTTGGGTCCTCCCTGTGCCAGAAATTTCAGGCACCAACCTAATTACTAATTTGGGGGCACACTGGGTTGTTTCTCTAGCCTCTCCTGTGAAGTTCTTGTAATTTTAAGATGTTGGATATCCTATGTTGGGTTGCTCGGGGTGCACGCTGGCCTTGCCTTTTCCTTTCTTTCATCTAGGACTGGCCTGTCTCAGGTGTCACATCAGTAGTACCTACCATGTGGACATTACTGTGTCAGTGGCAAGAGACATTCAAAAGTATGTGGCCCTGGTGCGAGGGAGCAGTGGAAGGGTGTGTCAGAGTTGGGGACCTGTCCTTTGCTCACCACTGATTGATGCCAAGGTCAGGGGCCACATCTCATTCCCCCCTTTCCTTCTCCACTTTCGTGTCTGAATTCGAATCCTCCTTCCAGCACAATCCTAACACCTGCAGGCCTTGGTCCCTGACTGTCACTGCTCCCTGGGCGGGGCTCGCCGACGTCTGAGCTCCACTGAGGATATGGCGTGGTCCACACATACCCTTAAGTAGTTCTGGAGTTGCAGTGTGTCCGTGTGGTTCGTTATTTTCTAGGTCTGTTTAGTTTTCTGCACCAGGCTCACCAGTCACCAGCAGCTATGGCCCTTTGCACAGCAGAGACTCAAAAACCCCGTCTCCTCCCTCCACAGCACCTGCTCTGTCTTGAGTGTTTGTGCGCCACCACCCACCACCAGTGCATATGTTGCAACCTCATTCCCGGTGTGATGGTGCTGGGAGATGGCGCCTTCGAGGCATGCTTAGGTCATGAAGGCAGAGCTCCCACAAATGGGGTTAGTGCTCTTGTAAAGGAGACTCCACAGAGCCCTGTAGCCCCTTCTGCTGGGTGAGGACATGGTGAGAAGTTGGCAGCCTGGAAGAGGGCCCTCATCTGACCGTGCTGGCACCCTGATCTTGGAATTCCAGCCTCCAGGACTGCGAGAAATAAATTTCTGCCGTTTGTAAGCCTCCCAGTCTGTGGGATTTTGTTGTGTCAACCCAGATGGACTAAGACAGGACCCTCCCTCGTGTCCTTCCCCAGAGTCAGGCCTCTCCCATCACGGGGGCTTGCCAGGCTGAGCTCTGCACCAGAGGCCTTCATTTCCCTGTCTCGAGCCCCCCTCGCCCATCAGCGGTCCCGTGGCCTCGTCCATGGGTGTGTCTGACACATATTCCCCATGGGGCCGCCACCTCCCACCAAAGTCAGGGGGCAATTTACCAGCATTTCTCTGCTTACAGGTTGCTGGCACGGAGCCCAGGACGAGGAGTCCCCTTCAGAGCAAGGTGATTCTGTAGGAGGGTCACAGGTCAGGACTTTAAATCCAGGCCCACCCACCCAGAAGTCCCAGCCCTGGGAGATGTGTGGCCCACTCTGGAAAGACCTTTTGCGCTTGGCTGAGCATGATGGAATGAACCCTGACCAAGAGCTATCTGTTCGTGGGGCAGACCTGCACCAGCACCAAAAGGAGCAGATTGAAGACAGATTTTCCAGAAGGGATGAGGGGAGTCCTTCCTTCCCAGTGAACGACAGCGTTCGCGTGGCAGAGAGTAGCTTCACATGCAGCAAAGGCAGGGAGGACTTCCCAGCCAGCACGGGCCTTCTCCAGCACCTGGCCCCTCACCATGATCTGAAACCGGACAGGGACACTGAGCATGGGGAGACCTTTGAAGCTGGACAAAATGATTACAAGTGCACTCAGTGTGGGAAAGCCTTCAGCCAAAAACAGGTCCTTGCTGAGCACCAGAAAATCCACACTGGAGTAAGACCTTACAAATGCAGCAAATGTGGGATGGCCTTCATTAGAAAATTTCACCTTGTTCAGCACCAGAAAATTCACACTGGAGAAAGGCCTTTTAAGTGCAGTGAATGTGAGAAATTCTTTAGGTACAACTCCACACTTATTAGTCACCAGAGAGTTCACAATGGATTAAGCCCTTATGAGTGTAGCAAATGTGGGGAGTTCTTTAAGTACAATGCCAACTTCATGAAACATCAGAGAATCCACGACGGAGAAAGGCCTTACGAATGCAGAGAATGTGGGAAATTCTTTAGGTACAACTATCGATTGATACGACACGAGAGAGTTCATACTGGAGAAAGGCCTTATGAATGCAGCGAATGTGGGAAATTTTTCAGGTACAGCTCCACATTCATTAGACACCAGAGAGTTCACACTGCAGAAAAGCCTTATGAGTGCAGTGAATGTGGAAAATTCTTTAGGTACAATTCCACACTCATTAAACATCAGAGAGTTCACACTGGAGAAAGGCCTTATGAGTGCAGCGAGTGTGGGAAGTTCTTTAGGTACACCTCCACACTCATTAGACATCAGAGAGTTCACACTGGTGAAAGGCCCTATGAGTGCAGCTTATGTGGCGAATTCTTTAGGTACAAGTCCAAGCTCATTAAGCATTGGCAGAGTCACACTGGAGAGAGGCCTTATGAGTGCAGCGAATGTGGGAAATCCTTTAGGTATCACTGCAGACTCATTAGACATAAGAGAGTTCACACCGGAGAAAGGCCTTATGAGTGCAGTGTCTGCGGGAAATTCTTCCGGTATAACTCCAACCTTATTAAACATTGGAGAAATCACACTGGAGAGAGGCCTTACGAGTGCAGCGAATGTGGGAAAGCCTTTAGCCACAAGCATATACTTGTTGAGCATCAGAAAATCCACACTGGGGAAAGGCCCTATGAGTGCAGCAAATGTCAGAAGGCCTTCATTAGAAAGTCCCACCTCGTTCATCACCAGAAAATCCACAGTGAAAACAGGTCTGTGAGCACCATAAATATGGGGAAATCTTGAGATACAACTTGAAGCCACTGACTAGAGAATTCCATTGGCAAAGAAACTCAGGAGTGCAGAGAAGAGGGTGAAGCTTTAGGCACTGCTCTAAACTCAGTACCTGGAGGAGCGCCTTACAAGGACAGCGGATGTGCAGCATGGTTTTGGTACAGCTGGCCACTCATTAGGCATCAAGAGGTCACAGGAGGAAGGCCTTCTGAGGGCCGTCAGTGCGCAGCCTTAGCACAACTCCAGCCTCATTACACATCAGAGAATTCACGATGGAGAAAGACCCTATTTGTGCAGCAGATAGAGGCCTTTGTTCATCTCAAACTCCAACCTTGTTCTGCACCAAGAAGTTCACACCACGCCAGAGAGCATTACAGAGGGGGAAAGACTTCAGCTAAATACCTGCTCTGACCTGTCCCTGGGACCTGCTGAAAGACACTTATTCATTTCACATTTATGTTGGGGCAAAGTGCATGTAGCAGTTTACCCTGTCTTTGAGTCGCACAGTTTAGTAGTTTCAAAAATTCACATATTTATGCAACTAATTTCCAGAATTCCCTTCATCTGGCAAAACTGAAGCTGTACCCATGGAACAGCTCCTCCTGCCCCCTCCTGACCACCCCCGGCAGCTGTGGTTTTACACCCGGTCTTTGTGAACTTGACTGCTCCAGATACCATATGTGAGTGGAATCAGACAGTATTGGTCTTTTTGAGACTGGCTTGTTTTTCTTAGCTGGATTTCTCCATTTATCCAGCATTTCCTTCTCTGAGCATTTCCTTCTGTTTTGAGAAGGGATCAGAGTTGACAAACCTAAGATACAGGAAAGGGTGTTGATGGAGCAGTACAGCTTTGCCAGATGTTATATTATTTCCAGAGGAAGAGGAGATCCAGATTTTATACGGAATCTTTATTTCTAAACAGCTTTACAGAGGTATTGACATAAACTACATTTATTAAAAGTGCAAACTATATTTTCATATATGTGTGCACAGTGGGAGCATCACTGGAGTCACGATGACTAATCCGTAGGCCCTGTAGTTTCCATTAGCCCCCTTCCTATTCTCTCTCTCCCGGCCCTACCCACTTGCCAGCCCTGGGTGGGACTTTAGTTTGCATTTGCTAGAATTTTATATAAAGGGAATCCAACAGTTAACTCCTGAATAGCTGTTTTCACTAAGTGCATATATGTATTTTTAGTATTATCCATGTTGTGTGTGCAAAAGCGTGGCATTCAATAACAAGCAAGGCTCTGTGGCACATCTTAGAGCCGCATTGTCTATAACAACAAAGGTGGTAATCACTGAGTGAAAGAGTTGTTTAGAATGGGAGAGTGAGGGGTGCCTGCAGGGCTCAGTCATTCAGTGCTTGCCTTCTGATCAGGTCCTGATCCCAGGGTCCTGGGATCGAGCCTTGCATCAGTCTCCCTGCTCAGCGGGAAGCCTGCTTCTCCCTCTCCCACTCGCCCTGCTTGTATTCCCTCTCTCGCTGTGTCTCTCTGTGTCAAATAAATAAATAAGTCTTTAAAAAAAAATGAATGGGAAAATGAAGTTTAAAGTAAATTTAAGTTCAGTTTCATATTAATTCATTTTCAAAAGTTTTTGAACCATCTGAACCACCTTTCTAGAAAATTCTTGTTTGGCTTTTTTTCTACTAGTGTTTTTAAGCTATGTCTTTGTATCATAAAAATTCTTAGGGTAGTTAAAAAAGTTTGTTATTGTATAAAACACACATAAAGTTTATCATCTTGTTATTGCTAAGTGTTCACTTCTGTGGTATATCAGGTTCCTCAGAGAAACAACCATCAGGGTGTATGTGTAGAGAGAGAGGGGAATATGTGTTTTTTAAAAGGCTTATGTAAAACCTTTGTGATGGCTTGGCAAGTAGAAAATCTGCAGGATAGGCCAACAGGCTGGGAATCGAGGAAGTGTTGACATTCAAGGCCCAAAGGCAGTCTGCTGGTAGGATTTCTTCTTGCTTGAGGTCATCTTTTTGTTGTGTAATCGTCAAACCAGGTGGCTCATTGAGAAATTTAGGAAGTGCAGCAACAAGCATTATAGAATAGGAAATTGAAAGAAAACAGTTTGAGAGTGAGACATGGGGAACAATTCCCGATTCCATTCCCTGATTATATTTGTCAAATCTCAACATGCACAAAATATTTAATGAAAAAATTATCTAAATTTATATTTACATTTAACACTTTTTGTTTCATGAATCACTAAGTTCTACACCTGAAAAAAATCTCAATATATATGTTAACTAGAATGTAAATAAATTGAAGTTTTAAAAAAACTTCATAAAGCTTCATAAAGCTTATTAGTCAAAATTTTAAGATTGGGGTGATTGAGAAGATATTTAAAATATCTAAATGATCCTAGTTTTAGATAATTATAGACATGCACATTCTAAATTCTTAGTAAGAAACAAGTTAGAGACTAGAACAAAATATGAGAAGACAGGGACTTTTGTGTTCTAGCATGTAAGAAGCTGGAAATTGACATTCGAACCTGACAAGTAAAAAGCTGAAAATAATGGAAGATCAACAACTCTTCTTAGTCTATAAGACAAGTGAGGTGGCAAGATAAACTGCTGTTCCCCAGATTAGTCCAACAGGAACAGAGAATGAAGGAAACCCAGGAGCTGACCCTCCTCCCTCCTCCATGAACCCCAGTGCTGTGGTAGGAGAACCTAAATCATCACACGTCTGGGAATTTTCCTCACACTGAATATCAGAGAAAAACACTCGTGTGCAGGGAGAGGGACAAAGGAGCCATTTTGAAAAATATCTGGACATTCTGTTCTTAACAAGGACTGCTCTCAGAAGAATCAGCTGGGGATTTTTCAGAGCCTCGGAAATACCCAAATCCACACCACTCTAGCCATCTTGTCCCACTTACGGTGCTGGAACTGGGGAAAATGTATGAAATTCGTAGGCCAGAAGCAAAGTCTCGCTGAAAGACCTAACTCTAGTCCTACAGTATGCTTCCTCTCATAACTTGCCACCAGTTACCACCACATTGCAAAACTTCTATTTATAGCAGTTTATTTTACCAGTGCACCATGTCCCAAGTATTAAGAAAAAGTTACAACACATACTAAAAAGGCTAAAATCAAAATTTGAAGAAACAGCATCAGAACCAGACACACAAGGCAGGGATGTTGGAATTGTCAGACCAGGGATTTAAAACAACTGTCATTAAGATGCTAAGGGCTGTGATGGTTAAAGTAGAGAGCAAGAACAGATTGGTAATGTAAACAAAGTGATTGAAAATCTGGTGTGGGGGGGGAGTAACATAAAAAACACTAACAAAAATGAAAAATGCCTTTGATGGGCTTGTTGGTAGACTAGACAGACATGGCTGAGAAAAGAAATGAGCTTGAGGGTATTTCAGTAGAAATGGTCAAAACTGGGATGCCTGGGTGGCTCAGTTGTTAAGTGTTTGCCTTTGGCTCGGGTCATGATCCCAGGGCACTGGGATCGAGTCCCATATTGGGCTCCCTGCTCAGTGGGGAGCCTGCTTCTCCCTCTGCCTGCCACTCCCCCTGCTTATGCCTTCTTTCTCTCTCTGTCAATAGATAAATAAAATCTTTAAAAAAAAAATGGTCAAAACTGAAAAGCAAGCATACAGAAAATACTAAAAAAAAAAAAAAAAAAAAAAAGAATATCCAAGGACTATGTAACAACTGAATATATGTAACATAAATAATAATACCAGAAGGAAATGAAAGAGAGGAACAGAAGAAAATTTTGAAACAATAGTGGCTGAGAATTTCCCCCAAAGGTAGCCAAATTTAAACATTCAGGTACCAATACAAAAAGCTCAGAGAACAACAAGCAGGAAAGATGCTAAAAGAAAAAACTACACCTAGGCATATCATTTTCAAACTACAGATAATCACAGATGGAAAAAAAAATCCTGAAAGAAGTCAGAGGAAGGAAACACTTCACCTGTAAAAGAGTAAAGGTAATGACATCCAACTTCTCAGAAACCATGCAAGCAAGACGAGTGGAGGGCAATACGTAAAATGTTGAGAGAAGAACCCTACCAACCTAGAATTCTATACCCTGTGAAATTATCCTTTCAAAAGTGAAGGAGAAATAAAGGATTTCTCAGAAAAACAAAAATGGATAGAATTTGTTGCTAGTAGACCTGCCCTGCAAAAAATATATATAAAAAAAAGTTCCTTAGAGAAAAGGAAAATGACATAGCTCAGAAGCTCAGATCTACAAAGAAAGAGCATCAGAAAAGGAATAAGTGAAGGCAAAATAACTTACTTGTCTTATTCTTAACTGATCTAACACATTACATCTGATCTAACACATAACAATTGATCTAACACATTAGTTTGTCCAAAAAAAAATAGCAATAATGTACTTAAGTATATATGTATATGGGTATATATATATATATCCACACACACACATAGACACACACACACACACACACACACACACACACACACATATATATATATGAAATGAATAACAGCAATGACACAAGGGAGAGACAAATTAGTATTATTTTGTTATATTAAGGTACACACACTACCTGTGAAATGGTAATGTTATTTGAAAGTGGATTTGGGTTAGCTGTAGATATATACTGTAACCTATACAGTAACAAGTAAACAAAGTAAAAAAAAATAACTTACATTGAAAAGGAGAGTAAATGGAATCCATAAAATGCTCAAACTACAAAAGGAAGGAAAAGGGTTGAGGACAACAATAGGAACAAATTACAAGGGTAACAAATAGAAAACGATAACCACTGTGCTAGATTAGTAATCCAACTATATCATAATTACTTTGAATGTCTAAATTCAATCTGAAGAAAGATTGTTAGAGTGGATCAAAACACAAGACCCAAGTATATGTTGTTTACAAGAAGCCCACTTTATTTTTTCTTAAGATTTTTTTTATTTGTCAGACAGAGATCACAAGTTGGCAGAGAGGCAGGCAGAGACAGAGGGAGAAGCAGGCTTCCTGCTGAGCAGAGAGCCCAATGCGGGGCTCGATCCCAGGACCCTGAGATCATGACCTGAGCTGAAGGCAGAGACTTTAACCCATTGAGCCACCCAGGTGCCCAAGTAGCCCAATTTAAATATAAAGATACCAATAAATAAATAAATAAATAAAAAGATAGATCTAAATAGATTAAAAGGACGGAGAAGAACACACCATGTAGACACTAAAAGAAGCAGGAGTGGCTATATTGCTTTTATTTTATTTTTTTATTAACATATAATGTATTATTAGCCCCAGAGGTACAGGTCTGTGGATCGCCAGGTTTACACACTTCACAGC